GCCCGATTGGATGTACTAACACCATCTTATTACCTATCCTCTGTTCACGTATTTGCAGTTTGCTATTCTCTCATGAATGTGGAGAGAAACTAGATGACAACAATAAAGTTGCTGGAAAAGCTCAGCAGGTCTGGTAGCATCTGTGAAGCAAAAAACAAGAGTTAACGTTTTGGGTCCGGTGACCCCTATTTCTTCACAGATGCTGCCAGACCTGCTGAGCTTTACCTGCAACTTTGTTTTTGTTCCTGATTTACAGCATCCGCAGTTCTTTCAGTTTTTATTTAGAAATTTGGATAGATTCCCCCTGCCTTGGGAACCACAGTACTCTATCAAATCCAGCCCAGTACACCTTGATTGCCCACTCAAGTACCTGCTTCTTCAAACGTTTCCATACTATCTTTTGCTGTCATTGATTCTTGAACAATCTGTTCTACACATCATTAGGTTTGGCAGTTTCTGTGGAGAAAGAAAGCAGAGTTAACATTTCAATTTCAGTGACCCTTTTAAGAATTGTGTCACTGCATCACAGGACTCAAAATGTTAACTCTGTTTTTTCTCTCCACAGGTGCTGCCAACCTGCTGAGTTTCTGCAGCAATTTTTGTTTCTCTTTCAGATTTCCAGCATCTGCAGTTCTTTGTTTTAGTTTGTTCTCCGCATCATCGTTCATGTAAAATATTTAGTTTTGACCTCTGTCTGTTCTCTTATTTTTATGAGTTCGCATTGAAGTTTCTGCTCCAAACTTTCTATTTTATTTCCTTCAAAGTCTGAATGAATTTAAGTCAACACTTTTACTGGAGCCATTTATTTTGGTGAGTGCTATTGATTTCAGTCATGACAAATTGTAAAGTTCAAGAAATACAATTTAACGACACTTATCCCATTCCTTGCAGGTATAAAACACCTCTGCTATCAAATCCTTTACAAAATTAATTTTCTAAGCCAATGTAACCTTCACAGCTATTAATATTCTTTCCTGAAAGGAAATAGATAGTAATGTAAGATTGAACATCACCACATCATCTTTGACCCTCATGTCATTGTGCTAGATACTAAAGTTGCCAGTAGTTGCGTGCAAAAGTGAATGAAGCCCATTAGACACCAGCACTGCTCCGCAGAGCCTTTTGAAACATTGAAACATTGTACATGTATGTATAAAAGTGATTGGTGTGAAGACAATTCTTTTTGATAGGGTCATAATGTTTGTTTCTCAGTAGACCTGTCGGCAATTAAAAGCAAATTATTGTGTTTGATTTAATGATATTTACCACGATGTTAATTGTAACAGGTACAGCCATAAACTTCAGTCAATGCAGTGACCTTTTCTGGATGTGATTTCTTTTCGTGTTCTCAGAATGGAGTACTTGCCAGCTGAGTGATAATGCAGTTTGTGGACAAGGGCTAAAGATTCGTTTGCTTAATTGTGTGCGAAGTGATGGAAAGTCGGTCGATAGCGACTACTGTGAAAAGGTGAGATCTCAATATGCAGTGTGGTTTCATGGCTGAACCTGGTTGGTTTGGAGGTGCAATTGAAAGAGACAGTTAATTGCATTACACTTGCACTAGATTATTGTGTGTGACCTTATTCATACACTTTCCCCTTCAAAAATCACTTCCAATCACCTAGATGTAAAACAGTAAAAGTTGTTAACAAGAAGCTGTTGTTGTATATATTGCATAGTGAGATTTAATAGTTCAATTTTTTTCTAACATTTTCTAACATAACACATTGTTAATATTATAAGCAGGGAAATCGTATTTGGAAAGGTATGTCAGTAATACCTTTCACATCAGCTGTGCTCCCTGTCCCTATAGCTTCACAGCACAGTCGGAGAGATATGTTGTGTGTTGGGAACAATGGATTGTTTGAGCCCGGTGAATATTGCCAAGTTGTATTGATTCAGGTGCACACCTGTAAAAAAGAAACTGCCTGATTTCACTTCAATTAAGGAAAATCAGTTAAGGCCTTCATTGCTTTGCTCTCCATCTTCAACTTTCTTATATTGTTATGTCCATGGTGATACAGTGCTCCCATAACTCTTGATACTTGATTTTTAGATGCTTAACTTTTTTATCTTGGAGGGGTTATTTCTGTTGCACTTATGATGGTCAGAGAAAAATAACAAAATTCTTTCAGTGTCAGCTTTGGCTCAGGTGGTACCCACTTAACTCAGAGTCAGAAAGTTTTGGGGTAAAGACTCATTCCAGAAGAAATGTGAAACTAAGACTCCTCCTCCCTTGTAAAATATCTCAAGGCGCTATTCTGAAGAACAGAGATGCTAACTCTGGTGTCCTGGGCAGTATTATTCCCAAATTAACGTTATAAAAGTAAATGGTCTGATCAGTATCAAGTTATTTATAAGAGCAGTGCAATGCTCAATTGCTTTTCCTACACTACAACAGTGACCACATTTCCAAAGTATTTCTTTAGTATAACATGCTTTGGGGCATCCTGTGGTCATGCAAGGAACTGGATTGATGCAAAGTCTTTTTGTTTCCTTTCTCACTCATTTGTTGTTTATGGTTGAATTCAACAGCTACGCAGTCTCTGCTTTGTCCCAGGTTGGGAAATTGACTCTTTTAATGAATTTTATGATTATAGGTCACACCTCAGAGGTAGGATTTTTTAGATGGTAGAGTTTCCCAACCTACTAGCCAAAGAATTAACAAGAAATGCATCCCTGCTGATCACAGCAGTCCCATTGAATTGGCTGGAGATTGAACTTCCACCCCTCACCTAGCTTTGAAGTCCCAAAGTCCAGAACTATATAAGTATAGGGAGCCTCATTGTGACAGGGGAGATGATGCTAAGTAGTGGAGGGTGTTGGGGGTTTGGTATCAGGAGGGGTGAGCAGGAGTTCCGGAGCTTTGTAGGGTATTGCTTAAGAGAGGGAGATGAGGAGATGAAGGAGTCTTGCTGGAGAGGTTGAGGATAAGGTGGGACAGAGCACCCAATGGGGAGATTTCAGAGAGGGGGCATTATGCCTGATGTGGACAAAGGTTCTTCAGGTAAGCCCCTATCTCCCTATTTCCTGTTCAAAGCCTGAGAAGTCTGCTAGGCTTTACCATTCTCCTTGAACTCCTTCTGCAAGTCTTAACATTGCGACCATGTTCGTCCTGGTCTTTGGCACCTAAAGGACCTCTGTTGAAGTGAATGTGTGTAGGCCTAAATCTTGCCCATTCCCCACATAAAATTACAGGCAAGTCAGGGACTGGCAGGAGGAGTGCAGGAAGTCCACCTATGGAATTCTATAGCCCCCTGCTGCAATCCTGCCAGTGGTGGACTCTAAAGTGATCAAGTGATATGGGGGAAGGGTGGGATTAGGGTATTGAGCTCAATGATCAGCCATAATCATTACTGAAGGTGGAGCAGACTCACAAACCTTATTCTGTGTCCTATCTTCTATGTTCCTAAAATTCTGCTCTGATACATTTCATCTGTCATGAGTTTCTGCTACATTATAATTTGAAACAGTTAGACTCTTTTCTGATCAGTTTGCTTTATTATTCTTGCTTTGTACTTGTGCAGATAGTAGCAGAAATTGGTATGCTTTCAGTTGATTGGTTAACTTCACGTTCTTTCCGATGGGAAGCTTAGTGGTGTCAAAAGCAGAGACTGATTACCAAAACTATATTAAGCTACCTTCACATGGTGTAAATTTCCTTAATGTTAGCAGTGTAAAAATTAGCCATTGCATCTCACTTTGCACCTCTTGACTAGAGAAATGATGGTTTCTCTGTGTTCAATTTTATTATATCTCACCTGGAAATGTCGTGGAGTCATAGAGATGTACAGCATGAAAACAGACCCTTCTGTCCAACTCATTCATGCCAAACAGATATCCTAAATTAATTTAGTCCCTTTTGCCAGCATTTGGCCCATATCCCTCTAAACCCTTGCTATTTATGTACCCATCTGGATGCCTTTTAAATATTGTAATTGTACCAGCCTCCTCCACCTCCTCTGGCAACTCATCCCATGCACCCACCACCCTCTGCATGATAAAAGAAGCCCCTTAGATCCCTTCTAAATCTTACCACTCTCACCTTAAACTATGCTTCTGGTTTTGGACTCACCTGCCCTGGGGAAAGACCTGTCCTGCAACTAAATTGGAGACCTATTCCATTTCCCAGCCCGATACACCTCACTAAAATGAAAGCAAATGAAAAACATTAACAGGCATATAACAATTACTTGAAAGAAGACTCTTCTTGCAAGAGAATTATGTCCCAATCTATTTTCTAAAATAAATTGAAGATAAGGGAAAGGTTTGGGGAATTGCAATGATGATTTTATAATTAAAGTTTCCAGTGAAGAGCCACAGTCATAGAGCATGAGCTGAAGCTACGTATACAACTCAATACCTTCTATCTTTGACCCACACTCTGTTGAATCTAGCTGTTCATTGGGAGCATATTATTGAGGAATTAGCTCCACATTCACGTCACGCAAGAGTGACATGACTTTCTTTAAAACTTAAGCAGACTGCTGATTTCACATGGTGACTATATTATTAACAACTAAAGGTCAAGAAAAATGTTTTTATACTTGGCAAATGGATATGTGCACTTTGATCTTTAAAGGTCAAAACTATTTTGAAGTTTGTGCCTCTGAATAACTTTTACTTATTTCCCAATTCTAAACAATGACATTTTACAATTTAATATTTCCTGTGGTGATTTATAGTTTTATTGACCCAATCTATTGTGGCAATGTGTCCAAATGCAAATCTTTGGTGAATTACAGATACCCAATCATGCATCAAGCATGATATACCTTCACAAAGTCACCAATTAATCAGTAAAGCAAACATCAGCAAAATATACAGGCTGGTCTATACTGGAGGTTTTTTTTAAGGTGAAATAATAGTGTTTGCAGCTCCTTGTTTAAAATTTATATTGAACCTAGATAGTGTAAATAGTTTAATCTAAATATTACTGCATTGCTGCTTCACTGATCCAGTCATTAACTGGTCAGGATAACACTTAATTTTCATTAACTGGTTGGGATAACACTCAATTTCCATTATCGATGAGAAATTGCTTTGACCAAGGCTAATAGCAATCAGCAAACCCATTTATAGTTTTAGTCAATTTGTAATGCAACAAAATAAAACAAAAGGAATGACTTAGCAAGTGTATAGGATTGCTTGAAAGTAGCATTGCTCAGGATTCCGTCTGATTACGACAGCCCTCGGATTCCTTGGCACACAAAGAAATATTTAAGAACTTGTGACAAGGTTATCAAACCAAGTGCTTGCAGATTATGCACACTCAGTCATTAATTATACTCACTAGTTTTATTTCTTCAGTTGTAGATTTTCAGAATATCCATTCAGCTCTTCACCTCACATAATATACTTCATACACACCTTGCAACAGCAAATAAATCAAAAAGTCACAAAGTTCTTTACACCAATACATTTCAACATTCACATTCAGCTTTCCACTTCTCTTTAATATGCTATTTAAAATCTATTTTTTTAGCCAAGCTTTTGATTAATTGTTCTTCAATCTCCTTTTGTGGCTCAGAGCCAAACTTTGTTTGAGAATACGCCTGTGAAACGTGTTGCGACATTTTACTGTGTGAAAGCTACTGGATAAATGTAAATTTTTGTTGTAAATTGTATCTAAATGGCACTATGGACCAGGTAGTTTACTGCTGCATTTTGTTTCCTTTTTCCAAGATGGAACTGGAATCTCCTTGGCATTTATCCATGTCTTGCTTTGTGGAATGTCCTGTAAATTGTCAGCCGTCAGAGTGGTCATCTTGGTCTGAGTGTTCCCACACTTGCGGACTTGAAGGTATGTGGATCCTTCTGACTATCAAAAGGCAGGTGTTAGTTTATCTTCCATGTAAAATAACAGTGCAAGCAGTTACTTAGCTTAGTCCGAGAAAGAGTATTCCAATTGACCATTGCTTAAATTTAATAAAACTAACATGTTAATTGTCACAATGATTTAGTTTCAGTATTTTTGTATTTCTAACTTTTTTTGCTGTTGAATTGTGGATGAAGCTATGTAACATGTGCAACACACATAAACACATATTTATAAATGTTTGAAATATGAGTATAAAAGGGAAAGCAAGTAAGTTCTCCAACACTTTTTTTCTTTTTGACAGCAAATAATATTCTTTATTATCTCAAAGTAAGCATTCTATAATTGTTTTGAATTCTGTCAAAATGCTTAGCTATTTATTGCAATATCATTAGTTTAGATATGGAATTTATCCAGAAAATTATTGTAGATGCAGATCACGTATATAACAGTTTGCATTTAATATTCAATGTGGCATTTGGATTTTGCATATCTGAATTATTCAGCACTGAACATATTACAAATTCAGAAACCTTTAGGTAAATCACAAGGACTGTAGAGGGAAAGAAGAACATGTCTGTATAGTAGATCAGTAATCAATATTCTTTTTAGAGGGTCAGATTAGTGCCAATTAATCATTTTATTTACATCTTATGGTTTTTCAATTGCTTTCTCTATAGTTATGCAGTCATTGTCATAATGGACACCACACTGAAAACATAACATGTGGTGACCTGAATATCAATATTTCTTTCTTGATTGGTGATCTCCCCAAATTTTACATTAGTAAATAATATTTTAAGTGAAGCATGTTTGTTCATGGCTGTACATGAAGAGATGCTTGGAATGATTTTGACTGTGTACACTATTGGCTGTCACAAATTGGCAGTCTCTGTTATGTCTCTCCTGCATGTTAATGTCTTTTCCTTTATTCATTCATGGGATGAGGGCATCGTTGACCAGGCAGCATTTATTGCCCAGTTCAGAGTCAACCACATTACTATGGGCCTGGAGTCATATGTAGGCCAGATCAGGTAAAGATGGCAGTTTCCTTCCCTAAGGGACATTAGTGAACCAGCTGGGATTTTCCGATGATCAACAATGGATTCATTGTCATCATTAAGTTCTTAATTCCAGATCATTTACTGAATTCAAATTCCACCACCTGCCGTTATCTGGGTCTCTGGATTAAAAGTCCAGCAATAATACCACTAATACCACAAGGCCGATGCCTCCCCATGTGATTTCAATTCCATTCACACGATTAAGGCCATCACAGAAAGTAGTTATCATCACCATGTTTATCAAATGCCGGGACTACCTTGTGAAGCTACAGCACAAGGCTATTCATGCCTAAGCAGCAGAGGTAGCATTATGTACACAGAAATATGCAAACACTCCCAAAGTATCAAGTCAAAGCTCTGCAGGCCTGTCACATCCAGTCGTGATTGGTGACATTTACACAGCTAATGGGATTCATAAACATCTCAATTATTAATAATATCAGAGTCCAGCATGGTGATTGTAATTGTTTACACACTTGTTTAAGAAAGGGAAAGATAAACCTGGTAATTATAGGTCTACAACAAACCAGGAGAAAATTAGTAGCCATGTGGACAAATAGGGACATGTATGGAAGAGCCAGCACAGATTTCTTTAAGAGGAAATTGTGTTTGATTAGCTTGATTTATTTTTTGGATGAGATAACAGAGATGGTTGATGAGAGCAATGCAGTTGGTTTCATCCACAGAGATTCTCAAAAGATATTTATTAAGAATCACATAATAGGTTTATCAGCAAAATCGAAGCCTAGAGGATAAAGGGGTGATATTATCATAGATACAAATTCAGCTCAGGGACAATAAACAGATGAATGACTGGGGATACGCTGTGGTATTTCTCAGGGTACAGAACAAAAATCACTAACGTATTTGATATATGTATTATTGACTTAATCTAGGAGGTACCAGGGCAAAATTTGCAGAAGATACAAAACTTTGAAGTATCATTAAAGATGAGGAAGAGAGTAGCAGACCTCAAGAAAACAGAGGTATGCAAATGCAATGGCTTAATGCACCAAAGTGTGAGGTGTTTCATTTTAAAGAAAGAATAAGAAATATCAGAGAAGTTATCCAATTTTAAAGAGGGTGCTGTGAAGGTGGAAGGACAGGTTACCAAAGCAATTAACAATAGTTACAAGAACAGGTCAGAGACTGATTATTCATGCTAAATGGCTCACCTCTTGACCCTCTAAAACACCAAATACAAGGAAAAAAACCAGGAATGAAATGAAATACTTGGCTCTTGCCTGGATAGCGGCAGCTGCAACAACAAGATATTCAGCATAATCCAGGACACAGTAAACTATTTGGTTGACACTTCATACAAATTCAGCTCTTCTGCAACCAGCATGCTACAGCTGTGGTGCATCCTGTATGGAAAATGAATTGCAGCAATTTGACTTGACTTTGGTGGCCCTTGAAAAACACACAACCTTCTCATCTCAAAGGACAGGCACAAGAAGTTAATGGAAATACTGTGTTCTGTGAGTCACATTGTGTTTTGGACCTGATCTCACTAATCCTTCACTGTTGCTATGTCTAAGTCTTGGAAAGCCCTTCCTAAAAGCACTGTAGACTAGCTTCACATCATGGAATGTGGTGGTTCAAAAATAAGTTCCACCACTGTCAACTTTTGAAGGCACTGTAAGGACAGGCATTAAATGCTTACTTTGATATAAGACCAACTTCCCAAAAATTGCCATAGATGACGATGTATAAGTTGACCTTTGAAATCTCAAGAGATGTTTCCAAAGCAGGTATCAACATGTACATAATATGAAATGTGAATAACTGGTATTGGTTTAGGTGGTTGAGATTTTGAAATTAATAGCAAATATTACTGTAGCTGCAATGGCATATTAACTGAGGTACTATTGACTCCTCACTGTCTGAGTGATAATTTTGAATTGATGATTCTTGTTTTGATTCAGAACTCATTCATTATATTAGTCTCCAAGATGGTTTTAGAATATTGAAGCACATGATATTAAAGGAAATCTGGCATTGTGGGTAACAAGTTGATTGACATGAAACAGAATTAATAGGATTGGGCTAACAAAGTGTAGAGCTGAATGAACACAGCAGGCCAAGCAGCATCAGAGGGGTCTCGACCCGAAACGTCAGCGTTCCTGCTCCTCTGATGCTGCTTGGTCTGCTGTGTTCATCCAGCTCTACACCTTGTTATCTCAGATTCTCCAGCATCGACAGTTCCTACTATCTCTGTAACTAATAGGATTGGGTAATGTGCAGATTGGAGACAGGTTGAAAGTTTGACATAGAGGGTGTAGTCCAAGGATAACTGCTGTATCTATCTCTGTTCTTCATATATTCAGATAACTTAAACTTGAATGTAAATATCCTGATACTGAAATTTATCAATGAAACCTAAGAATTTAAACGTACCTGAAAAGACACATGAAGCCAATCTTTTTCAAGTGCATTCCATGAGATTTAAATGCAAGAAAACCAACTTAGAAAGCTCCATTCATTCCAAGAGAGCAAGAACTACAGATGCTGGAGTCAGAGACAACACAGTGTGAAGCTGGAGGGACCCGAAACGTCGACTTTCCTGCTCCTCTGAGGCTGCCTGGCCTGCTGTGTTCCTCCAGCTTCACACTGTAATGTCTCTGCTTTCATTCTAAGTTGGTTTTCTTGTATTTCAGTCCAGATGAAAGCTTTGACTCTGTGATTCTCTTTACCAGTATTTAATTCTGCACTGCCAAGCAATAATAAGGGCACCTTTGAAGAGAATTTAGTAAATGGTGAGTAGGATATGGCTTAGTGAAATGAGCAGACGGATGATAGATATAATTTAATGTGGAAAAATTATGTGATAATACATTTTGGAAAAAAGTTAATAGATATGTGATTGCCATAGATCTAGGAATTCAAATACACCTAACACATAGTGTGGATTTATCAGGATAATGCTGTAGATAAGAAACATACTTGCACAAACGCTTAAAATAATGTGAATATTTCCAGTAGTGCAGAGAGAAATAAAGATTATTTAGCAAAAATAATTAAATAACAGGCAGTTTTGATAGGTTTCATAGGCAATGACTATTACCACCGTTAAAGGAATCAAACCAATGGAAGCATCAATTGTAAATTTACAAAGCCATGTCAGCGCATTGAAAACATTCTAAAATTCATCTGCATTCCCTTTTTTCTGTCCAACTGATCACTTCTTCAAAACTGTTAAATCTGTCAAATGTGACTTTCCTTGAAAAATTCCATTGAAGCCGTTCATGGTGAGCGAAGACACCTACAAATTCCTGTTAATTTTACTTCAAATAAGAATTTGAATTGTTTGCCAACATCTGGTATTTGAATAATTAGTGGCCTGGCCAACATTCATCTTGCAATCAACACCAGAAAGAAAATAGATTAAACTGATTGTTTATCTCATTGCTGATTGTGCGAATCTTGTGTTTAAATTGCTCATCATGTTTTACCCACAGAAGCTGTAGTATATAGCCTTCAAGAATAATTCATTAGTTGTGAAGAGCCTTGAGGCATCTGAAATTGTAAAAAGTGTGAAAAACCTGGAATTCTTTTCTCCTTTTCTCCTGTCCTGCCTTCACAGGCTGTTTGCCAATTGTAAAATAGGTGAAGTTCAGAGAGATCATCTTTTATCTTTCTCTGCAGTTTGCCTCACTGAGGAAGAGGTGAAGTAATAACATAGGGGGCATGTTCTTTAGGATCCTGTAGAGTTAGATTTGTGTTTTTGTAGGATAGGAATGGTTATTTGTGTTTCATTTTGTAAACAAACCATTTGTTTGGGTCCCTACAACCTCTGGGGAATCTGGAGCAGAGCTGACCCAGCCACTGGTTATCTTTCTAGTTATTCAGAGGGGCTAAACGGACATTTGCTTCCTTCTGTTAAATGTGTAGCAATCTGCCAACTCTTTTAGTTGGCCT